TCTCATCTCTGTCCCTGGCTTGTTGACGTGGTTGTGGGGAAACAGGAATACCTAGTCTCCTCTAAGACTTTTTTTTCCCCCCTTTTGAAAAGCAGGGGTTTAAACCCAGGACTCTGTATGCCAGGCAGGCATTCTACCATGGGACTACATTTCCAGTCCACCAAAGATCTGACTTCTTAATCCTTCTGCGTGTAGAAAACAGCCCAGTGTCACCCTACTGTTGACCCGGAGCACATGTGACAGAATCCTTTAGCATCTTTGCGATAGTGTGAGGCCGAGAATTTCCCAAACCAAATCCTTGCTGCTTTTTGTTTATCAGTTCTTCCTTCAATTTGTTTAGCATTGCATTTTCTATAGGAAGGGAGAAGAAAGCTGAATGCTAATTCAGTTAATCCAGATTCACTTGTTTTGTTTCCATTATACCTGCAGGACTCAACTGAGGCAAGTTCCAAGTTTCTGACACTATATAAAGATCGTTTGGGCTGGGGATATAGCTCAGTGGCATAAGCACCTGCCTGGCAAATGCAAGATCCTGAGTTCGATTTCTGGTACCAAAAAAAAATCGCTTATTCTTCATTTTCCAAAATGAAGAACAATTTAATCCTGAATCCTATCAGTGGCATTTTTTTTTTTTTTTTTGTCTTTGTGAGGCAGGGTCTCACTATGCAGTCCAAGCTGGCCTTGAGCTCACTTTGTAGCCCAGGCTGGTGTCAAACTCTGCTGCCTACTTCTCCCAAGTGCTGGGATTACAATCATGTGCCACCACACCCAGCGACATTTATTTTTCATTTTTTGATAATACTGAGGATTGAACCCAGGGTTGCCTGTCTCTCTCTCTCACACATACTCATGCATGCACAATGGATGATTACTGCTGAGCCACAACCCCTTCCACACCTTCATCCCCAGCCAGGATTCCTTTGTCTTGCTACTGGGTGGCTCTGATTTGAATGTGTTATGTTCCCACCCACTTGAACCACCAGTGATAAATGCATGACTTATTAGGCGGTATGGGGCAGTCCTATCAAGTAGTTTAAACTCCTCGATGGAGCAGGCATGTATGTACAACTGTGGTTCAAGTGGGCAGGAGCAGGTTGAGACAGGGTCTCACTAAGTTGTGCTGGCTGGTCTCAAAGTCCAAATCTTCCTGCCTTAGCCTCTCTGATGACTCTGGTTACAGGCGTGTGCTACCATTCCTGGCACCAGACGCTCTTGTTTTTGTTTTTTTGGAGATGGAGTCATGATGGTAGTTCAAGCTGGCCTTGAACTCACAGCACTCCTGCCTCAGCCAGCCTCCCAAGTGGTGGGATTACAGGCACGTGCCACCACACCTGACTCTTAACTTTATTTTTGGTACCAGGAATCAAACTCAGGACCTTGCGCTTGCCGGGCAGGCGCTTGTGCCACTAAGTTGTACCCCTAGCCTCTAAACAGTGCCAAAAGTTTAGTTGAAAAGTGAGGAGCTAGCTGGGTGTAGTGGTGCACACCTGTAATCCCAGCACTCAGGAGAGTGAGGCAGGAGGATGGCTATCAGTTTGAAACCAGCCTGGAGTACAAAAGCAAGTTCAAGGCCAACCTGCACTATGTAGACCCTGTTGAAAAAAAGAAAAAGTACAAATGAGAGTTCTGGAAGTCAACCTTGGAAGTGAGTCTCATGGAACTGTCAGCAGGGCTGCTGCTGGAATCTCTAGGGAAGACTTTCCAGCTTACAGAGGCTGTCCTTACTCTAATTCCTCAGTCACATGTCTGAGTGATCCTTGGCCTCCCTCATGAGGATTCTTGTGATTAATTACATTGGGGCCACTGGATCCTTAATTACACCTACCTGAGCCTCTTTGGATGTGACACTTTCATAGTTCAGGAGATTAGGACATGGATATCTTTGGTGTCTTTTCCTGCTTATCACCTTGCTCTCCAGTTGTCTTTGATTAGTGAGGAGCAGCATCTGAGGCCTTTAGATGGTAAAAGACTGCTTTTGACTTCTGGTTCAGGTCAAGGCTGAAAGGATGTTTTTTTGTTTGTTTTTCTTCCGGTACCAGGGATCGAACTCACAACCTTGCACTTGCCAGGCAGGTGCTGTGCTGCTGAGCTAAGTCCCCAGCCCCGGATGTTTTCTATTTTTATTTTTTTTATCTTTTTGAGACAGGGTTTCGCTGTGCAGTTCAGGCTGACCTTGAGCTCACTTTGTAGCCCAGGCTGGTCTCGAACTCTCAACGATCCTCCTGCCTCAGCCTCCCGAGTGCTGGGATTACAGGCATGCTCCACCATGCCTGGCTTAAGCCCGGATGTTTTCTAATATTGCAAGAATTTTAGTTAATACAGTATACTGTACCCTACTTATAAGATACAGAGTGATAAAACCTGAAAATTTCACCTATGTTACAGTTGCTAGGCAAAAATGTGGGTTCAAGTGTTCCAAATCAGGATCCTCATATGACTCTTCCTAGCTTTTATAATGGTATGACATCTTTATAAGTGAGATAGTTTATAACTATTTTCTTATGGATTAGCGATTGGAGCTAATAACAGATCACAGGCATATATTGATTAGGTGTATAAAAGTTCATAGGTCAAGCTGGGGATGGCAAGGCACACCTGTAATCCCAGCTACTCAGGAGGATGAGACAAGAGGATTCCAAGTTCAAGGCCAGCCTGAGCAATTTAGCAAGACCTTGTTTTAAAACATGAGCTGGGCATGGCGGCACACATCCATAATCCCAGCACTTGGGAGGCTGAGGGAGGAAGATCACTGCAAGTTAGAGGCCAGCCTGAACTGCATAGTGAGACTCTGTCTCAAAAAGACAAAAAACAAAAAAACACAAGTAGCTCAGTGACGGAGTTCTTCTAGGTTCAATCCCCTGTACTGAAAACAAGTGAAAATACAGTATATATAAAAGCATCTTCATACTTACATTATATACTGTTCATTCTTTTAGGGTGACTAGGAAACGTAAATTGGGGCTATTAGCACAGAAAGAAAGCAGAGCACTTTGTTTTTGCTTCTTTATTCAACCATCAAATCTTTGTTTTTCTTTTTTTTTTTTTGAGATAGGGTTTCACTATGTAGTCCAGGCTGGCCTTGAACTCCAAGTGATCTTTCTGCCTCAGCCTATCCTGGAATCACTGGTGTGTCACCATGTGCAGCTACTCAGCCATCAAATCTTACATGCTGGACCTCTTCCAGGGGTGGAGTGGATGTAGAGGTTAAAAAAATAAAAAAGTTAGACTCAAACAGAGAGAAGCTGTAGATCTTGTCTGGTAATTGAAAGGCCAGTAGAGCTTTGACAAAGTCCTGTAAAGCCCTGAGCCTGGACCAAGTGCCTTTACATATGCGTTAGATATGGCCTAATAAATCTGATTGTACACCATGAAGATTTTTGTTTTTGAAATCATTATTGAGAACTTTACATAGATCTGATCATTTTTTTTTCAGTGTTTCCTTTAAAACAACAGTGCTATAAGGCAAATGTTGCAATTCCACAGAAAAGGAAAAAAATGAGAACTGAAAAAAAGGTAAATCCTAGTCTACAAACCCACAACAGGAAAAATTACACAGGGCGGTTATCTAAACACACAAAGCCAAAAAGTGGTTGAACCAAGTTAGAAATCCAAGCTGAATAACCTTTCAAATAGGTAGGCATCACCCAGGTAGATCAGTGATTTCAGAGGGTGGGAGGAAGGGTGCTGTGGGCAAAATCGCTGCAAGCATAGAGGCTCAATGTGAACAGATAAAAAAGGGCCATTTAGCCTGACTCACTGGTCTTAGTACTAAAGGCAATTTATTGCTTGTCTAACTGAAGACTTGAGTGGTGAGCTAACAGGGTCTCACTCATCAACTTACAATGATGTAACCAAATCGGCGCCTTAGCTCTGAAAGTGGCTGATAGCAGCTTCTGGTGTGACATATTTAACATCCAGCAGGGCGAGTTTTGTCCAGCACTGTAGTCCTGGGGTTCCTTTTGACTAGGGCAGCTTGGTCTGTAAGCCCTCAGTCACTACACCTACAGAAATGGGGTAATCAGCTCCCCTGTATTCCTGGTCCTTGTCTAAGCATCTCCTGGTTCCAGCGATGTCCCCATCACACTGCTTCTGAAAAGTGACACATCATGAACCACTCTCCTTGCCCAAGGAAGTGGGTGTTTCACCTCTGCACTTTAAATCCTTTTATTTATTTATTTATTTATTTATTTATTTATTTATTATTTTTGTGGTACTGAGAGTGCCTTCACTCTGAGATATATCCCCCGCTCTTTAAAAAAAATTTTTTTTTTAAATTTTGAGACAGGGTCGCCTTGGGTTGCCCAGGTGGGGCTCAAGTTCTTAAGGCACTGGATTATAGGGGTGCACCATCATGCCAGGATACTAAAATCCTTTAGAGAGGGTGACCTCGCTGTCCAGCTCTCCAGTGCCCCAGGTTCCAGAAGTCAGAAACAGCATAGGCCCCGAGTAAATGGTAGGGGACAGTGGAGTCGGCGGAGCCCTATCGGCTCGAGATCCTGGAGACAGACACGCCCTGATCGGGGGAGCGGGGGCCGCAGCGCCCACTACCGAAGCCCAGCTTCATTCTGCAGTTGTGGGGGCCACCATTCCCTGTTTACGCGGGAGAGGAACGATCCGGTCCAGGAGCTCTGGCGGCTGTGAAGCCTCAGCTCGTTCAGAAAAATGAGGACGGGTAATTTCTAAAAGAGGATAGCCGCTTGCACAGAAGAGCCATGAAAGGGGCCAGAGATTAGGAGAGAAGCGACCAGAACCCCACAGAACCTTCCACACAATAAAATAAGGCGTCCCACACTTTCGCAGTGCCAACGATTAACGTGACCAACTCCAGTCCCCGTAAAAGAGCGTAATTTCCCCAACACTCCCTAACACCCCTCAATACAAGCGACGATGGGTGCTACGGACGCAAGCAAAACACACTCGGGGAGGACCGCCAACTGCTTCTCCTCCCAGTTTCTCCATTCACTTCCGGTTACTCACTTCCGGTCCTTCCCACTCACGATCACTTCCGGTCCCTGCCACTTACTCTTCCGACAGAAGGTCGGTAACCAGCGACTATTCGAATTTTCGGTTCCCGCGAGGGTCGGCCTGGTTGGAGGCTGAGAAGCCGACAGGACTGGGGCCGCGCGGACGCAGAGCGGCGCCCACACTGGCACCATGGTGAGTGGGTGCTGGATGATGTTGGGTGCCGGGGGAATGTAGGAGGGCGGGCTGTGGGCCTCGGGGTTCTCGGGGCCACCGCAGGCTCAGGCTTCTTAGTGTCACCCGGGGTCCTCTCCCCCTCGTTGGCTGGCAAAAAGGAGAAACACGGCGACCGCGGGAGCCTCTTGGCCGCCTCGGACCCCGTTTTAGACCCAGGAAGCTCTTTAATTACCCACAGGGAAACAGGCACGGAGCGCGAGGACCCGCTCCCAGTCACAGTGGAACACGGTGGCTCCTTGTCAGGGGCCGGTCAGAGACACGATGTGGCCCGAGTGGGTGTGATCGAGGCCTGCGTGGCTTGTTGGCGTCATCCGTTCACCATGTGTAAATAGGAGGACGCTGCAGTCAGCACATTGAGGGAGGCTTGGCAACTGTGCATCTCACCAAGTGAGAGCCCTATTAAAAGCCCACGGGGGGACTTAGGTCAGGGACCCGCAAGGTTTGGAGAGGCCTCTAAGGTCATCAGTGCTGGCTGAGACCCTCTTAGCCTCTCGTACAACAGTAGTGCCGTTTGGTATTCACCTGAATGCATACACAAAGCTATAGTGATGAAACATACACAGGCTTATATACATGACCATGTAAGTATGAATAGTGTACACACGTAAAATAGCCATGTGCAGTGGTGCACACCTGTAATCCCAGCTACTCAGGAGGCTGATCCACAAGGATCACAAGTTTGAGCCTAGCCTGGGCAATGTATTGAGACCTTGACTCAGAAAAAGAAAAAAAAAAGGCTGAGGATGTAGCTCAGTAGTAGTGCACCCCTGGGTTTGATTCCTAGCACTGAAAAATAAGATATCCGGGGCTGGGCGTGGTGATGTATGCCTGTAATCCCAGCATTTGTGAGGCTGAGGCAGGAGGATCGTTGTGAGTTGGAGACCAGCCAGGGCTACAAAGTGAGCTCAAGGCCAGCCTGAACTGCATAGCAAGACTCTGTCTCAAAAAGACAAAAAAAAAAAAAGGTTATCCATATGTACATAAAATACACATATTCACATCTGTACATAGCTCTACTTGCCTGAGGTACTAAATCATACCAAGTAGAAGAAAAGCCATGAGGATACTGGTCTTGTGTACACACAAGGCTACAAACCAATAGGTATTTATTTTTTAGCAAAAAGGCACCATTTACTTTTAAATGTTTGTTTGTTTACTTATTGGTATGGTAAGGATTGAACCCAGAGCTTCATGAATGCTAGGCAAACACTACCATTGAGGTACACCTCCAGCTCACCAATACATATTTCTATTAACATAGAAAATAAACACTTGCATGATTGCATAGTAGGATAAAAGAAGATGTATTAGAAGCATCCTGCTTGTGACTGTATCTTTAAAAAAACTTTTCACTAAACAGTAAATGTAAAAAAAAAAAAAGCACAGTAAATGGTAAAAAAATAAAAAGGGTGTTGTAACCGTGCATATTTTTTCTTTCTTTCTCTTCCAGGCCCGAAATGCAGAGAAGGCCATGTAAGTATCTCATTTTGGCTGAATTTTTTTTGTAACTTCACCACCACAGGGGTCTGTGGTCTTTTTGGTCCAAGAGCCATTTGAGAAGCTATTTCTTTCTCTGCTTGTGTAAAATGGCACCCCCATATCTGCCCATTTCTTTTCCCCCATTAGGGTTTTCTGACAGGTTCCGGAGCTTATTACTATGTTTGTTCACCTGTGCGTGGTGTGGGAAGCACAACTAGGGCATTCCATGGAACTAATCTTTTATCATCTGAATGTATTACTCATCACAATGGTCTGATGAATTGAGTTTCTCAAAGTTCTTACATGCAACATAATAAATTAGATACTTGGGTGTTCAGGAACACAAATGGCCGGATGAGGTAGGAATGAATTAGTGAGATCCTGTCCCCCAAATTAAAACGGCCTGGGGATGTAGATCAGTGTGAAGGGTCTGGGTTCAGCCCCCAGTATCACAAAAGGAGGAGGGAGAGGGGAAGGGGAAGGCAGAAGAAGAGAAACTTTGACAGGACCTGGTAGCCCCTGCCTGTAATTCCAGCTACTAGGTGGCTGAAGCAGGATGAGGAGTTCAAGGCCAGCCTGGGCAATTTATAGACTCTATGTCAAAAAAAAGGATTGGGAAGTAACTCACTTCTCCACTTGATCTTAGCCAAAAGGCCGAGAAGCGATTAGTAACTCACTTCTCGAACACTTGACTAGCTTGTCTGAGGCATTGTGTTCAATCCCCAATACTACTCAAACCAGCCAACCAACCCGCAAATGGCTTTGTAGGCCCTGCTCCCTGAGACATGGAAATCCTAAGGCACACTGTCATTTTGGTTTCCTGATTGCTGTTCTTCCAAACGACATTACATGTGCTCTTGAGCAGCTCTGCCCCTTCCAGGAACTTGGGTGATCAGAAGTCTGAGCGGGCTCTAACGGTGTCTTTTGTGTCCCTGACAGGACAGCATTGGCGAGATTTCGCCAAGCTCAGCTGGAAGAGGGAAAAGTGAAGGTGGGTGTAAATCTTCCTGATGGGCTGTAAAGTGTCCAGAACAAGTCCAGCAGAACTCCTTCTTGGACAGACTTGGAGCCCTGCAGCTGCCTGTCTGCCCTTGCTCACATCCAAGTTGAATTTTCAATGTTCCTCTGGGTAGCTGGGGAAGTGGGCTCACTTGGTTGCTTATGTTTCCATTTTTTCCCTAAAATGATGACTGAGTCCCCTTAACGTGCCAGCTCTGTCTAATATGGAATAACAGGAAGTGGAGTGTTGGGGCAGCTGTGCCTCGATGCCAGTGCAGAATCTCAGCTCAAGGGGACCCAGCCAGATTAGGGCTGATAGATACTAGGCTCTGAGTTTGTTTGTTTTTTTAATTTTATACACATGTATATACAACACACACACACACACACACACACGCACACACACACCCACATACTTATGCATGTATGTTTGGCTTAAATACTGACAGCTGTCCTTTTTCAAGGTAGTATACATAAGCCATGGTCTCTCCATTACTGGGCATTTATGCTGTTTCCTGTCTCTTGTGGTACTCTGCCTGCATTTGTTGTGGTTTTTGTCTGTAGTTGTTCCCTAAAGAGAGGCTGGAGTGAGGTTTAAGGACCAAGGAGGAGAGCCTGGCACTTTTTTTTTTGGTACCGGGAATTGAACTCAGTACCTTGCTCTCACCAGGCAGGGGCTTATGCCACTGAGCTATATCCCCGGCCCAATTTTTTTTTGGGGGGGAGGGTGGTACCGGGACTGAACTCAGGACCTTGCACTTGCCAGGCAGGCACTTATGCCACTGAGCTATATCCCCAGCTGAAATTTCAAATGTGCTAAGACTGGAAGAGCCGTTGGCCTCAGGCCTGGATACACTGTGTGTGTCCCATGAGCTGTAGCTAGTCCAGTGACCATGTGTGCTCTTTTGCTTCCCTTAGGAAAGAAGACCCTTCCTGGCTTCAGAATGTACAGAGCTGCCCAAAGCCGAGAAGTGGAGACGACAGGTGACTTCTGGATGAATCTCCATGGAAGTAACAAGTCCCTGGTTGCTTCTTTTTTCAATCGGAACGCCTCTTTTTTTGAGGCGGGGGTTCCTATCTGAGACAGTCTCACTGTGCAGTTTAGGCTGGCCTTGAGCTCATTTTGTAGCTTTGGCTGGTCTTGAACTTTCAACGATCCTCTTGCCTCAGCCTCCCAAGTGCTGGGATTACAGGCGTGTGCCACTACTCCTGGCTTTCTAAATGACTCTTAAACCTGAATTCTAAGTAGTTTTTTGGTTTTTTTTTTTCTGTCTTTTTGAGGCAGGATCTCGCTATGCAGTTCAGGCTGGCCTTGAGCTCACTTTGTAGCCCAGGCTGGTTTTGAACTCGCAACGATCTTCCTGTCTCAACCTCCCAAGTGCTGGGATTACAGGCGTGGGCCACCACGCCCAGCTGAATTCTAAGTAGTTTTAATGATTAGTTTTGAAGTTTATTTTTTTAATTAATTAATTAATTAATTTTTTGTGGTACCAGGAATTACTTTTGAAGTTTAGTTTGCCTGTGCTTTCAGGTATTTCAAAAATCATGAAAATGTGCTATCCTTTATTTCATAGATCATTGGAGAGATTTCAAAAAAAGTGGCTCAAATTCAGAATGGTAAGCTGACTTTCATTATGTTTGCTTTGTTTTGTGTTATTGAGACAGGATTTCCCTCACTGTGTAGCTCAGGTTGACCTTAACTGACTACGTAGCCCAGGCTGGCCTCAAACTCATGGCAGTCCTCCTGCCTCAGCCTCCCAAGTGTTAGGATCACACACATGCACCACCACGCCTTGGTTAACTTCCTTTTTACTTTTTCTTTTCTTTTTTTTTTTTTTTTTTTCCTTTTTCTTCTTGAGACAGGGTCTTGCTGTGCAGTTCAGGCTGGCCTTGAGCTCACTTTGTAGCCCAGGCTGGCCTCACAACAATGCTCCTGCGTCAGCCTCCTGAGTGCTGGGATTACAGGCGTGCGCCACCACGCCCGGCTTTAACTTTCTTTTTAGAGGACTTGGTTCTCAAATTCATAGGTAGACTTGGTAACTTGCTTCTTGTTGCAGAGATCTATTGATCACTATCTATTGAACAATTAGGAAATCAGCAAGACACATTAGACGTGAACAGTACTGCCCCTCATGACCTGGTTGACATTTCTAGAATGCAGTACCTAACGCCATTCTACATGGCAAGAATATTTTTTCATTTTTTCAGAGCACATATAGCTGCTTGTGGGTACATACCTGTGATCCCACCTTCTTGGGAGATGAGGCAGGAGCAGTACAAATTCAGTGCGAGCCTGGGAAATAGTAAGACTCTGTCACTAATAAAAAGAGTTGGAGGTGTAGCTGAGTGATAGAGTACCCCTGGGTTCAACCCATAGCAAACACCCCTCACCCCTCAAAAATGCAACATATACATCACTCACCAAAGTAAAACATATTCTGGGCTAGAGCACATGTTAGCCTTTTTTTTTTTTTTTTTTTTTTTGGATATAGGGTCTCACAATATAGTACAGGCTGGTCTTGAACTAACTATGTAGCCCAAACTGGTCTTGAACTCTCTCAGTGATCCTCCTGCCTTAGCCTCCTGAGTGCAAGGATTACAGCTGTGTACCACCATATCTGGCAAGCAAATTTAATTAAAATCATACAAATTGTTTTCTCTGTTTTTTTAACAATAGAAAGGTATCTGGAAAATGAGAAAATAAGAATTCCAGATGTTGCCAGGTATAGTGGCTCACTCCTGTAATCCCAGCTCTTAGGAGGCTGAGGCAGGAGGATCACCACGCATTCAAGGCCAGCCTGAATTACAGAATTCCAGGTGATGAGCCTTATGTATGTGGTCAGTTGACTTTTGACAAAGGTCCAAAGTAATTCAGTGGAGAAAAGGATAGTAATAAACTTTATCTTTTGTTTGTTTTGAATCAGTTCAGGACATCAAGGCAGGCCAGGCCAGGCCAGGCCAAGGTCTCGCTATGTAGTCCAGGCTGACCTTGAACTCATGGTGATCCTCCTGCCTCAGGCTCCCATGTGCTGAATTTAACATGTGCATATCACACCTGGCTAGTCATGAACTTCAAAATTCAACAGTAAGGAAATTAATTTGTTTTAAAAAAAAGAATGGGTAGCAAAAGAGCCAGACTTAGTGGCAGATTTCTGTAATCCCAGCACCTTAGGAGGCTGAAGCAGGAAGCTTCTAAATTCAAGCCCAACCTGGGCTTGTATTTTTTACAGTTCAATAACCTGTTTCTTAGCAAGATCCTGTCTCAAAATAAGAAAGGGCTGGAGATGAGGCTCAGCGTGAAGGCCTTGGGTACAAAGGCCTCAGATTCTTATTTGCTCCAGGATGCATGGTAGCTGTAACTGGGAAGCAGGAGGCTCCTAACCAGGCATGGTGGCACATGCCTGTAATCCCAGCCCTTGGGAGCCTGAGCCAGGAGGATTACTACAAGTTTGAGAGCAGCCTAGGCTACATATGAGTTCAAGGCCATCTTGAACTACATGGAGGGACCTTGTCTCGTTCTTTTTTTTTTTGGTACTGGAAATCGAACTCATGGCCTCAGGCTTGCCAGGCAAGTGCTTAAGCCACTGAGCTATACCCTCAGCCCCGAGACCTTGTCTCAAAAAACAACAACAAAAAAGGAGGCTCCAGTGGCTGCCCCCACTCTCCTCAGTTTCTCTAGAGGTTTGTGGCTTTGAGACTCAAAATGAGGTTTAGGCCTAGTACCTTCTGAAAGTATAGAACATGGGAGTGGAAGATTGTAAATGTATCTTTATTTTTACTTGACATTTTAAATTTGTATTTGAGACTGGGTTTTGTTATGTTGCCCAGGCTGGTTTGGAACTCATAGACTCCAGCAATCCCCCTGCCTCAGCCACCTGAAGAGCTGGGACCACAGGTACATGACATTGTGCCTGACTGACTTTGTTTTGTTTTGCTTTCTTGTTTGAGATGGTCTTGCTCTGTAGCCAGGCTGGCCTCTACCTCACTGGAGACTAGGATGGCCTTAAACTTGTGATCCTCCTGCTTCAGCCTCCTGAGTGCTGAGGTTACAGGTGTGCACCAGCATACCTGGCTTGCATAATCATAGTTCCATAAGTGGGGCTGCAGGATTGTTTCTGTTTCTCTTTCCTTAGTTGCTAGTGAGGATACTTCTTGTAAAGGATTTTTTTTCTCCTCTGCTAGTGGGAACGGTGTTTATAAACCTTGCTTTTTCATTTATTTGGCTATTGGGCGTCTCCATATCAATTTAAATGAGTATTTCATGCAGTACCCTGAGGGATGGCTGTTCCCGTGGGAGCGATGATGTTGAATGTAGTGTTGACACTTATTTGAAGGTGTGCCGGTTTGAGGAAGTGCTTCTAACCTCTTATTTTCCTAGCTGGTTTGGGTGAATTCCGAATTCGGGACCTGAACGACGAAATTAACAAGCTGCTGAGGGAGAAGGGGCACTGGGAAGTCCGGATAAAGGAGCTGGGTGGCCCGGACTATGGGGTAAGTGTGTGGCACTCTAGTAGGTGGGGGACTGGCACAAGCCCTCTGAAAGGGACAGAATGGAGCATTGCTGAGGCCCCCCGGGAAGGACACCAGCAAGGGGCAGCCCTGCTTCCCAAGGGCTCCACAGGGGGTCGGGCCATGGCCATGGGGGATAGCAGCCCATCCCATCCTGGCTTCCTCCCTGCAGTTCCCCTGGTTTCCCGGAGCCCTTCTGAGGCAAGCCCTGGGCTGGGATTTGTCAGCTTAGTCCCCCACTGTAGGCTACATAGTGAACTCAAGGCCAGCCTCAGCTACATAGTGAGACCCTGTCTTAAAAAAAACAAAAAACAAAATTTTGAGTGTGGGGTATACTCCTATAATCCCAGTGTACAGGAGGCTGAGGCAGGAGGATTGCAAGTGTTTTTTTGTTTGTTTGTTTTTGATCTCTGAGACAGGGTTTCACTATGCAGTTCAGGCTGGCTTTGAATTCACAGCAGTCCTCCTATCTCAGCCTCCTGAGTGCTGGGATTACAGGCCAGTGCCACCATGCCTGGCCATGGATTTCAGGTTTGAGCCCAGCTTGGGCAATTTAGCAAGACCCTATCTCAGAATTTTAAAAATGAACATAATTTTTAAAGAGTTGTTTATCAAAATTTGTACGGTTCCAAACTGCAGTGGTACTTTGGTTCGTGAACATGATTTTTTCCATGTTTCTGGTCATAAACCAAATTGGTTGTGAACTAGATCAAATTTCCCCATAAGGTCAACATTGAAGCTAACTATTGAATTTGACTGAGTTCTTATCCAACTTGGTTTGTGACCAGAATTCTAGAAAGAATTAAATTCATGAATGTGCTATAGGGATGATGTAGAACTTCCAAGAATCCAAATAATATAAGGGAAATACAGCTCCCAAATACAACTCCTACTAGACATCTGATATGCCAAATTCGTGTTCTTGAAATCAAAGAATGAATTTTAGGAACAGTGGAGGTTAAGGGTAGGAAATGTTAGCTGGACGTGGTGGCACATGCCTGTAATCCTAGCACTGTGAGTTCGAGACCAGCCTGGGCTACACAGTACGTTCAAGCCTAGCCTGAACTACATCGCAAGAGCCAGGCTCAAAATACTAAAAAAAAAAAAGTAGGAAGTGTTTAGAGAGAGAAAGATAGCATCTAAGAGAGAAGGGAGTCCCAAGTGGGTGGCCCTAGGGACCCTGCTTCTCAAGGGAGTTTTATACAACAAAGCTCCAAGGTGAGGCAGATGTAAGGTGGGACAAAACTATAGTCGACTAATAAGAGTATAGTCACTTAGGTAACACTGATCCAGTGGGAACTCACAAGGTGAGCATGAGTGGGACAAAGCTATGGTCAACCAAAAAGATTATGAGTATAATCACTTAGGTAATATTGATTAAATAGGGATCAAATGGGGAAGCAAGTCATACAGGAAGTATACATAGAACACATATGGTTTCACCATCTGAGTGTGTTTCATTTGTCCACTACCAATTGTCATTTAGATAATTTGTCATTTTTTTTTTTAAGCTTTGGTCACTTCATGTGCTAAGTATTTGTCTAAGTCAACATAAGAACTTTATACAGATCATGATTTTTAGGGTATAGAATTGGAATGCATCAGTGAATATGCTGTAATTTGTTTAAGTTTTATTGTTAGACAGTGCCTGCCTGGTAAGCGCGAGGTCGTGAGTTTGATTCCCAGTACCGGAAAAAAAAAAAAACAAGAAAAAAAAAGTTTTATTGTTAGACATTTAAGAATTTTTTTTTGGTAGGTTAATTCTTTTCTTTTTTTTGAGGCAAAATTTTGCTATGCAGTTCAGGCGGGGCTTGAACTCACTTTGTAGCCCAGGCTGGCCTCAAACTCCCAGCAATCCTCTTGCCTCAGCCTCCTGTAAGTGCTGGGATTATAGGTGGTAGGTTAATTTTTAAGGGGTAGGAATATATGTTTTTTTCTGTGTACGTAAATATTTTCCATATTTAACATCATTAATTTAAAATCTATTTACAGAAGTGGAAATAGTTTATATATCAGATTCATTTTGTCTTTTTCCCTCCCAATAAGAAAGTTGGCCCTAAAATGCTGGATCATGAAGGGAAAGAAGTCCCAGGAAACCGAGGTTATAAGTACTTTGGAGCAGCAAAGGATTTGCCTGGTGTTAGGGAGCTCTTTGAGAAAGAACGTAAGTAACTCAGGCTTTTGAAAGTTTTTGCCTCTAACTTGATAATGTTATGGAAAGCAGGATACCAGACTTTTTCACGTGCCGTAAGAACCAACCATGCACTCCCAGAGAATGGAAAAAGCCTTTATTTGGCTAGCCTGGCTCAGAGAAGCTAAGCTTCCTAACTTCGGAGCCCTGGTGACAGTGTTACCAAGGTTTTTATAGAGTTTGTGGTGGAAAAAAAGGAACTCACACAAAGACAGTTACTTAAAAATGACAGGTTTATAACTTTGGCCATCTGGTCAGCCTCAGTCAGGTAGGGAATCTAAGCAAGGAGGAGGGAGGTGGGGACAGGCACCACAAATTAGGCAGCGAAGTCCCTTACGTGAGTAGGGAAGAAGAGGAGGAGGGAGGCTCTAGGCTTGCACAAGTTAGAGAGCTGTGAAACTGCTGTTATCAGCAGGGCGTGGTGGTGCACGCCTGTAATCCCAGCACTCTGGAGGCTGAGGCAGGAGGATCACTGGGAGTTCGAGACCAGCCTGGGCTACAAAGTGAGTTCATGGCCGGCCTGAGCTGCACAGCGAGACCCTGTCTCAAAAAGACAAAAAAAAAAAAAAAAAGAAAAAGAAACTGCTGTTATCACATTAAAGTGAAGCCCGCAGGGAGCTCGGTTGGACCCTTTAAAATGGACCATTTCTTTCTTCAGTAACAATTATGTGAGTAAATATGCTATATGCTCAGTGCTTTTCTGATATTATTATTTCTTTTTTCTTTTTGGCGACAGGATCTTGCTATATAGTGTAGGCTGGCTTAGAACTTGTGGCAATCCTCCTGCCTCAGTTTCCCGAGTGCTGGGATTACAGTTGTGTCCACCATTCCTGGCTTTCTGCAGCAGCTCAGGAGTTCTTTCCTGGATGTCTTTAGTTGCGCTGTCATGGCTGCTTTGATGTCCTGAATCAATTTAAAATGTTAATTTTTCATCATCATCTTGACTTTGGGGAAGAGCCAGAAGTCACAGGTGCTGGACCTGGTGAATGAGGTGGCTAAGGACACAGCATCAAGTTTTTATGAGCTGCCTTTCTATTGGATGGTGCTTGGCAGCAGAATTCATCATAATTTGGATCCCACTTTGTTCAGACACTCAGGAAAGAGAACTCCAGAGTTGCTGCAGAAAGTGATAAGAGCAGTGGGGTCAGTGTGTTTGTAATGAAGGGAGCTGGGCATGATGACACACACCTGTAATCCCAGCACTCTAGAGGCTGAGGCAGGAGGATTGCTGTGAGTTTGAGTCCAGCTTGTGCTACAAAGTCAGCTCAAGGCCAGCCTGAACTGCATGGTGAGACCCTGTCTCAAAAAACCAAATGAACAAACAAACAAACAAAAAAGAAATAAACGGGGGGATTTTGTTTTATTTTGAGAGAGGGTCTCAGTATGTAGCCAAGGCTGTCCTGGAACTCACAATAGTTCTCCTGTTTCAGCCTTCTGAGTACTTGGATTACAGGTGTGCATCACATTGCCCATCAACAGTGTGTCTTTTACTGTGATAGATTTTTTTAAAAACATGGACTGCATATTTTGATCACCCTTTTGTGTGCTTTGAGGGAAAGCTGGGCTCAAGGGTCACTGTAACCCAAGAATGAGCTAAATTGCCATTGTTTCCTGTAGCTCTTCCTCCTCCCAGAAAGACTCGTGCTGAGCTCATGAAGGCAATTGACTTTGAGTACTATGGTTACCTAGATGAAGACGATGGCGTCATTGTGCCTTTGGAGCAAGAATACGAGAAGAAACGTAGGTCTCCGGGCATCTTGTGTGGGACGTCCTCTGGTTTCTCTCCTTTGAAAACTGTTTTGAGTAATGCATCTGGCGGAAGGGCATTTCCCCCCTGCTAACTCAGGTCCTCAGAGGTCTTGGAACGCCAAGCTGTGAGCCCGTCCCAGGTGGCAGGTGAGGCAGTCAGCATGGCCCTGGGCTGGAGAAGCCGAAGGGCTGTGTCTGATCCCTGCCTTAGGTGCGGCAGAGGGCTCATGAGTGCAGGATGCGGCTCTTCCCTGCCAGAGTGTGTCTGGGCAGTGTACTTGCGCTGGTCTGAGTGCCACTTGGCGAGCTAGGACTTTGGAAACAACTCCTGGAGCATGGAGCTCCTTCCCAGCTTGCTATGGCCTCCGTTTTCTTTTCTTTTTTTTCTTTTTGATTTTAAGATGGGATCTCTCTTTTGTATCCTAGGCCCGTCTTGAACTTGTAGTCCCTGTGCCTCAGTTTCCCAAGTGCTGAGGCATGTGACTGTTCATGTCCCTCATTTTCATGTGGGTATGTCTTAAAGCCACTCAGGTTGCTGACTTTGGGAGGATCAGGGAATAGTCCCCGAAAAGACACTGTGTAGTAACTTAAAGCCAGAGGTGTTATGGAACCAGACTGCCCTCCCAGCCAAGCCCCAGAGAGAGGGCAGCTCTTTCTGGAGCGCCGTCCTGGCCCCTCCTTCAGAGATGCGATCGTAGCTCCTGTCTCCATCTGCAGTGAGAGCCGAGCTGGTGGAAAAATGGAAAGCAGAGAGAGATGCCCGGCTGGCAAGAGGAGAAAAGGAAGAGGAGGAAGAGGAGGAGGAGGAGGAAATCAACATCTATGCTGTCACCGAGGAGGAGGTACTGGCTTAGTGCCCTCTGCTCCGAGCCACAAGCCGTGAGGCAGAGAGGGAGGGAGCTCAGTGCAGAGACCAGCGCTTGGGTTCAGAGCCCAGCGCCCTCCCTGTAGGACGGCTGTGAAGATCCATGTTCAGGGCTAGGAAGGGTCCTGGGAAGGAGGGAACGAATCGCCACTGGAGCCCCCGTTGGTTGTGCTTTGCACTAGGGATGGCATCCTTTCTCCCTTGTTTTGTTTTGTTTTGTTTTGTTTTGTTTTGTTTTGTTTTGTTTTGTTTTGAGACAAGGTCCCGCTATGTAGTCCAGGGGGGCCTTGAGCTCACTATGTAGCCCACATTGGCCTTTAACTCCCAGCAGTCCTCCTGCCTCAGCCTCCTGAGTGCTAGGATTACAGACGATCGTCACCCTGCCTGACCCTTCCTGCCATGTTAACAATCAATGAACAAGGATGGGATGTAGAAAGCCAGGTTGCAGGTTCCAGCCCTGACCGCACCCAGCTGTTCACGTGGCTCCGCCAGTGGCTCTTCTGTGCCCAGCACCCCCGTTTCCAAATGGAAATAGAAGGGACCTGCAGAAGTTCACAGCTGGGAGGAGCGGGGCTCCAGGCTTCTGGGCAGGCCCATTATATGGGGTCCTGGACCGTGGACAGTGCCAGGTGGGTCTGCTTCACTCTCTGAGAGGGGGGAGGGTCTCTCTTTCTGACACACACACACACACATACATACATACATACATACATACATACGTTGCCTGGCCCGGTTGTGTGCAAGGAAAAGCATCACCATCACCTGTGAGGAAGCAGCTGTGAGAGGTGACACGGCTCAGTGAAGGTCGCACACGATGCAGCGGCGCTGTTCATCTGGATCCCACCGACCACAGCAGGTCTCACGCAAGGCTGTGGAACGGGATGGCATGTGGCCTAGGTGGTTTCCCTAGGTGCTCTGCAGGAACTGTTTGATGAATGACTGCATGAGCTAGGCTTGTGCCACAAAGTGAGTTCAAGGCCAGCCCGAAATGTGTAGTGAAACCCTGTCTCAAAAAGGCAAAAAAAAAAAATAAATAAATTTTAAACAATAGGTAAGGAAGTCACAGGTTTCCAAAACAGTGTATAGAGAGTCGTCTTCTCCCTGTTCCCCGTCTTCCCTGTTCTCTGCTATTAGTTTCTGTTCTTTTCCCTCCTGGACAGGAGGTGGCGTAAAGCACCAGCATTCCGAGCATTTTGTCACTTTTCCTGTTTAAGAATGTGTCTGGAGCATCCTCTGTGGAAGTGCAGATGTCACGTTCCCTTGTTTTTTCCCCGACAGCTGTAGGGTGGCACCGTCTTAGGGAGGTGCCATTGATAGTGCTGCAGGTGCCCTGCGATGGCCGTGCTGTTTCTCTTTGCAGTCCGATGAGGAAGGCAGCCAGGAGAAAGGAGGGGAGGACGGGCAGCAGAAGTTCATCGCTCACGTGCCGGTGCCGTCGCAGCAGGAGGTAGGGTAGAGGCTGCCAGCTGCCAGGGGACAGCAGCCTGCCCCTCGGGGAGAGGCTGTGCTCGTGAGAGGGTGGGACCGCGGAAGGTCAGATGCTCCCAATGGGAGGGAGGTGGGCTCTTGGAGGCCGCCTGGTGTGTGAGGCACACTTCTCAGAGACGCCCCAGGGTCCCCGTCCTGCAGGGGCTCCAGGCCGAGCGTTGAGCCCGCCCTCTGCTGCTTGCAGATCGAGGAGGCCCTTGTGCGAAGGAAGAAAATGGAACTACTCCAGAAGTACGCGAGTGAGACCCTGCAGGCCCAGAGTGAAGAAGCCAAAAGGCTCCTGGGCTACTAGGACGAGCCAGCCACTCCTTGGAGTCTGAAGAGCCAGTGGGCGGCCTGCCAGCCCTGGGTGATCCTGCCCGCATGGCCACCCTAGCCGGTCAGGCCGCTGGCACCAGAGGCCCTGCTCCTTTCTCACCCTCCATCCCTCTCACCTTTCCTTGCCTCCTGGGCTGATCTGAGGGTGGGGCTGTGTCTTCTGCCTCCCTTGTTAGGCTGTCTTCACTTTTTTTGCAGATAATTTATGACCAGTGAACCCATTTCTTTTTATCTTTACCTGTGTGGGCTACCGTATGAGCTCATTTTATTTTGGTTTGTGTAAAAGATTGCCCTCCGACTGCCTGTTAAGTGTTTTGGGCTGGGGATATAGCTCAGCGGCGCAAGCACCTTCCTGGCATGTGCAAGGTCCTGAGTTCGACTCCTGATACCAAAAAAAAAGTTTCGTTCTGCCTTGCACTATGATTTTGGAGGGAGAAGAATCAACTAGTGGCCAACATTTTAAAAAATGAAGCTGAGTGTAGTGGCCCACCCCTGTTATCCTAGCACTCGGGAGGTCCCAAGGATTGCTGCAAGTTCGAGGCCAGCCTGGGTTAGTGAGTTCAAAGCCATCCTGTACTACGTAGTGAGACCCTGTCCCAAAGAAACTAAACGCAAGCCGGACGTGGTGGTGCACACCTGAGATCTCAGCACTCGGGAGGCTGAGGCAGGAGGATCGTTGCAAGTTGGAGGCCAGCCTGGGCTACAAAGTGAGCTCAAGGCCATCCTGAACTTCATAGTGAGACCCTGTCTCAAAAAGACAAAAAAATCCAAAAACCCTAAAGCAAATAAAAAATGCAGTTTTTCTAAAAAGACACATCCTTCTCTTTAGAACTGAGGTGATGTGTCAGCCTTGAGCCAACTCTCTGGGTCCGTACCCTGCGCTGCCCCTGTTGGGCACTACCCTACTTCTCTACCAGCACCCTCATCTCCCTGGCGGCCTGGAATTTTGACTTTGCAACTTCCGCACTGTAATCTGTTCTACAGAGAGCCATTATTAAAGATGTTTTGTAAGAAAAGGAAACTGCCATGCCTGTTTTCTGGGGTGACCACACTGAGGGAGCATGAGGTCGCCCACACGGAGGCCCCCTGAGGCAGGCACAGGAGTGGCGGTGAGCAGGGCGGCCCCCATGGGCTCCTGTGTTGCCTCTGTCGTTGCCCACGATGGACATCCAGGAGTCCAGAGGTCACGGTCAAGTGGGGACCTCCTGCAGAGGCTGCAGGCCTGGGTGGTCCAGGGCTTGGGCCTCTTGCTCCACGGCGCTGTGAGAGCATCTTGGTGCTCTCTGTCAGGGCCAAGCAACCATCCCTTGAGTGTGCGGCTCTGACCTGGGCTGTGGGGAAGTGGGAGCTCCTGGCTTAGAGAAGTGCATCCCGAAGCGAGAGGTTCGCCTGTGGGAGTGGCACAGACAGGGACAGAAGAACCGTGTGGCTGCGTCAAGAGAGCTGCTCAGCCTCTAAGGAACCTGATGCTGTGGTAACTGTGGAAATGTTCTCAGGGAAGAGAACCTCGATTTCAGTGACTTGCTCCAGGAAGCTCCCTTCCTGAAGGGCTATCTCTGCCCCAGCCCTGAGCCGAAGCTTGGGCAGATGTGCAGAGAAGAGGGAGAAGTCCGGGGTGGAGTTCAGTGGCAGAGACAGGCGGGGCTCTGGGCTGCGTCACCCAGCTTGCGGCTCCTGCAGTGGTACGCTCAGGAGGGAGCTTCAGGGGGGCTTTGAGCAAGTCCTGGGACGCAGCTTTGGTTTCTCTGTTCTGTGGGCGCACTCTGGTCTCTGTCCCGGCCTCTGTAAGGTGGGGTGTGGGGGACCTTGGGCTCAGTCATGGGTTTTTCTTCCAGGGTCACCCACAGGCAGTGATGCTTCCTCACAGGTGGAAAAGACAGGAAGTCCTCACATCACACATTTCTGGGCCCGGGATTAGCCCAGAGCAAGCCCGTCCTGCAGGCCAGGCTCCAGCATTCCAGTCTCATCAGGGCCGCTTGGGTCCCACACTGGGGAAAACAGGCTTGGTGTGGAGCGGCATGCAGCTGCCCATCTTGCAGGTCTCCCTGGCGGGCCTGGAACAGAGGGAAGTTCTCAGCCGGCCTCCTGCCAGGTCTGAGGACAGCAGGAAAGCCGCCAGAGTGGGTGTGACGGCAGGAGTGGGTGTGGCTGCCTGGCCCCAGCTAACCAGTCTTGGCAGCCTTGATTTCGTTCACAAAATCCACTGACTTATGTTAGCTTTGGCTCGCCTATAGTATCAGAAAGGTAACTTTTCCATAGACACATTGCGGACTTCCTTCCGCTTGCCTCCCCGCCCATCCTCCACCCTCTGGTGAGGCTACAGTGCAATTCCTGCGTCTCAGTCCATTCTCCCAGTCCTCCTTCCCCTCACCACCAGCCCTTGTACAGCAGGGGGCTGAAACCCATCCTGGTCTGTTTCCACCCAGTGGCTCCCAGGAGTGGACACGTTGGGCCCTGGTCCTCTGCACACTGGCCCACTTCCCCTGCCTCCTTGGTGCTGGAGCACTCAGGTCCCCGGGGAGTCCAGTGTGGCCCCTGCCCATCTGCCCCGTTGAGGGGTGCAGAGGGCTCTTTCCCAGGGCTAGCCTGGGCCTGCGCTTTTTCTCCCACTGAGTGCTTCCGGGCTATAGCTTGCTGGGACCTTAAAGCTACTGCAGTTTCTTGGCAGCAAAGTGAGGGTGGGGTGCTGCTCTGGGCAGGGGTCTGGCCCCAGGAGGGAAGTGCTCTGGGAGCAGGGGTGCACGCTTGGAGGGGACAGTAAGTACTGCATGTGGGCATGCATTTCTTGGGGCTTCCCTTGAAGCGGTCTGGGAAGCAGGACTTGTTTGTTTGTTTGTTTGTTTGGTACTGGGAATTGAACTCAGGACGTTGCGCTTGCCAGGCAGGTGCTTATGCCACTGAGCTATGTCCTCAGCCCTGGGAAGCAGGACTTGTGAGGCCACTCCTGCACCTGTACCTGGGAGGAAGCCAGGGCAGCCTTCTGGGACCACCTGGGCCTGCTCTGGGGCTGGCAGAGGGATTCAAGGGCACGGGGCATGGTGGAGTTGCACGAGAGGTGCTGAGAGGTAGGTGGCCTGCATATGGTGGCTCAGGGCCTCCGTTGTGAGATCACCATCGCCAGAGGCTGAGGGAGGGGATTCACCTGTCCCTGTGTTTGTGACATTTTGGGATCCTAGGGGGGAAGAGAGAGCAGATGCCTGCTGCTGCTTTGCCCACCAGGTCCACTGAGGGCCACTTCTTGCCACACTAGCCCTGCACTTGCCCAGAGCACCTAGATCTCCAATGCTATGACAGAATTCTGGGTGATATTTGCTGCTTTCAGTTTCCTAATACTTGGCAGCAGGCATTTTTCCATATTCATGACAAGGGTCTCATGGTTGGTGTCTAGTCATCTTCTTGATGACTTTTTACCCTACTTTTTTTTTTTTTTTTTTTTTTTTTGAGTCCAGGTCTAAAACTCAGGACCTTGTGCTTGCCAGTCATGCACTATGCTGCTAAGCTATATCCCTGGCTATCTTTGATTTTTTAACTCCAGGTCTCAGCTATGCAGTTCAAATTGGCCTTGAACTCACTATGTAGCCCAGGCTGGCCTCAAACTCATGATGATACTCCTGCCTCAGCCTCCTGAGTGCTGGGATTACAAGTGTACATCACCATGCCCCCAGGTGTCCAACTGGGTTTTTTCTTTGTTTGTTTGTTTCTTTTGTTTTTTAACCCAGGGCTTTATTTTTATTTTGAGATAGGATCTTGCTAAGTTACCCAGGCTGGGTTGAAACCTGCCATCCTCCTGTCCGTCCACATATTTTTTTTTTTTTGGTACCACCAATTTAACTCAGGACCTTGCATTTGCCAGGCAAGCACTGCTGTCTGTCTATTTTTAACAATTGTAGATATGCATTATTTCAAATTTGGGGCATTAAAGGAGACTTCTTAAATTTTTTTTTTTTTTTTTTTTGGTTTTTCTCCGGTACCAGGAACTGAACTCACGACCTTGCGCTTGCCAGGCAGGCGCTTTTGCCGCTGAGCTAAATCCCCAGCCCCTCTTAAATATTTTTTAACTACCCCATTTCAGATGAGCATAATTCAACTTCAGGTACAATGCCACTGCTCTTCATGAACTTACTTCCTAAAGACAGGAGATACAGATTTTTAAAAACAGTTTTCCTGAGGTATAGTTTATATACCATGCTGAGCATGGTGGCTCATTCCTGTAATTTCAGCACTTGAGAGGCTGAGACAGGATCGACACAGGTTTGAGGTCAGCCTTGGCTACATAGTGAGTTCTCAGTTGGCCTGAATTTCATAGTGAGACCTTGTCTCAAAAAAACCCCAACTTTTTTACATACCATAAAATCCACTCTGTGAGTGGACATTTTAATGATTTTTAATGTTTTCTGAGTTTGCAAGACCCACAACACTTGTTTTAGGCTGTTTCTAGTACCTAAGATTTGTGGTGGGGAACTGTGTGACAAGAATCTAGGTCCAATGCCAAATGTGGTGCATGCCTGCAATCCCAGCACTGGGGAGGCTGAGGCAGGAGGATTGATGCATGTTTGAGGCCAGCCTAAACTACATAGCAAGACCCTGTTTCAAAACAAACAAAAACTCCTTGAGGGCTGGGGGAAGGGGAAAAAACTGGAAGGTGTTATGTACAGGTACCAATTCCCTATAGTGAATGTAATCATTATATACTGCAAACATATTAATAAAAGTGAAAGAAAGAAAGAAAGAAAGAAAGAAAGAAAGAAAGAAAGAAAGAAAGAAAGAAAAAAAGGAAAAAAGAGAGAGAGGAGTGTGGTGGAATATGCCTATAATCCCAGCATTCGGGAGGCAGGACAATCATTATAAGTTCAAGGTCAACCTGGGCTACAAAGTGAGCTCAAAGCCTGCCTGAACTGCATAGGCAGACACTGTCTCAAAAAGACAAAGGAGACAAAAAAGAAAGAATAAAAAGAAAAAGAAAACGAAAAAGAGAAAGAAAAAGAAAAAGAAAACCAGGCCCAGACTAGGCTTCTTCCCACTTCACTCTGCATGAAATCCAGGCTGGGTATTGTCGGGGCCAGGTGTCCACCCCTGCTCACGGCCACCCAGCTCTGGCCCGGACTGCCTCTTGGACCCTCATGCCATTGTGCCTCCCCCTCGGCCCCGCCACTGCCACCAAGTACTGAGTGGCCACTTGAGCCCGGCCTTGCCCGCCTGACAGCGCCATCTCCAGTGTATGGAGACCCTCACCCTGTCCTCAGGTCCCCCTCAGCCCGGGAATGGAGGGAAACATTTCCTGCCACCGCAGCAGGCAGCGGGTGGCTTTTCAGGGAATCCTGGGGCTTGCTGTGGGAACCTGTGAGCGTTTCCTAGGGGATGAAGCTCGCTGTTAGGGGGCGGGCAGCTGTCCTGCCCTCACTGAGTGGCCTTGCCTGCTCCTGCCCGGCTGGTGAGGCTGGGTGGGGTCCCCTGTGGCCCTCGGGAAGGGCCCTTCTCTTCCCCGTGGAGACGGCTGCGGCTGGGCTTCTGTCTGCTCTGTGCCCTGAGACACTCACTGCCCGCGTTCGCACAGCAGTGTCAGGCCAGAGCAGGCACCCGCCACGCGGTCACAGGAAATATGCGCCAGGCAGGGTTGTCTGACAGGGCAAGAGTTCACACCTGAACCCCGCTCCCTCCTGGTTTTGATGGGACGGGTCCCATTTGGTAGAATTGAAGCTTTTATTGTTTTTTTTGGACAGGGTCTCGCCAGGTAGCCCAGGTTGGCCTCGAACTCAGGAGATGTTCCTGCCTCACCCTCCCGAGGCCACCAGGCCCGGTTCACTCTCGGCTTCTAACGGATGTCTGGTCTCATCTCTCAGAGGACCCCTGGCTCCGGGCTCTAAGCTGTGTGGTCTCTGCCTGTGCCCACAGCCCTGACCGGGCCAGCCCTTCCCTAGCACTAGGCGGCATCTTCTGGGAGTGCCCCTGCGGGTCCGGCTGAGGAAGAGACTGAGTGGGCAGAGGACTGCCGGGCGCAGCGAGAGGCGGGGCCCTGGCGGGGACTTGGGGGGCTCGGAGGGCATGGGGGAGGGGCTCAGGGGTGGGCGGGGTTATGTGGGCGGGACTAGTCGTAGTTAAGGGGCGGGGCGGGAGGATGTCCTTCCCGGGTGCAGGGCTAGGATGGGGCGGGGTGCTGGTGTCGGGGCGGAGTCGGGGGCGGTGCGGAGGGCGAGCTCGGAGTGCTGAGGGACGACTAGGTGGTGCCGAGGGAAGGACTCGGCGCTGGGGCGGGCTCAGGGTGCTGAGGGCGGAGCCGAGGAGATGTCCTGAGGGGCGGTGCAGGGGCTCGGGCGGGGCGGGGCAGGGCGCTGAGCCGAGGAGACGAGCTCGAGCTGGGGGCGGGG